AATCACAGAGAACAAACTGATGGTTACCAGTGGGAAGGTAGTATGGGGACGGGTTAAATAAGTGATGGGGATTAAGGAGTGAACTTGTCTTAATGAGCAATGGGTAATGTATGGAATTGTTGAATCACTATATTTTACAGCTAAAACTAATATAACACCGTATCAAACTTTAAAAGTTTCACATTTCACATTTGTATCTCACCATTACCACAGTGGCAGTTATGAGAGCTGGACCAGGCAGCAGGTCCAAGCAGCATTTACAGGACAAACTCCCTGTTCATACACAAGTCCTCATGTACAAGGTCTGAGGGTGCCTGCAATAAGAAGCCAATTCAGTCATCTGTGTGAAAAGAAAGGTGTGGGCTGATTTGTTTTGTGTGGTTTCTGAGCCCAAGAGGTGAATATGCTTAATACACTGGTAATACTAGGAAGACAGTATAAGAGTACAAGAATGAGCAATTTTTACAATATTTTCCTCCTGACTAGTGGTATCTTATTCTATTAAATATAGGCCCACCGAAAGAAAAAGGTTTGGTTTGGTTTTGTTTTAGTGAAAATGTCTCTTCTCAATATAAGTTACAAGCCAATCGCTACAGAATGGACCGCTTGCCACTTATGAATGGCAAAAATATGTGCCATTTTCTCCCAACAACTTTTGTCCACTTTAGAGCCTAAAACCGGTTGAGATAAGTATAAAGAAACCACACACATTTCCAAAAAATGGTAACTATATACGCTTTGTAAGTATAACAAAGGAATCTTATGCCCTGCTCCTCCATGGCCGGGGCTCTGTTGGGCAAGATTTTAAATGAAATCCAAGCATCTTTTCTTCCTGTTTAGTTAGGTGTGGCTGCCAGGAATGCAGAGTAGCATTTAGGGTATAAAGTACTCTATTCTCAAGGACAACACTATAGTGAGAGAGACAATCTCACCATATGCCAAGGATCTCCTTGCAGGTGGAGCAGACAAGCCCTGGGTAGGACTAGAATGCAGGGCTCACAGGCTCTCTGCCCTAGCCTCATGATAACCCTCTGTGCCAGAGCCTGGGTTTTGCAGCAAAACTCAATTCAGGCCAGGGAACCTTAGGTCCACCAAGAATCCTAAGTAGTCTATTAAGGCTTCTGCAGTGGCCAGTCCTACTTCTTTAATCATTAATTTACCAGAGAAATAACAGGATGATACTATTCCTTGGGTGAGCTAACAATAACCCTGGCAGGTAGGGTGTCTGCTATTCATGCACACTAAGAATAGAAGTGAATCCCTTAAACTGATAAAGTACATGAAGCCAATTATTAATGTAGTGCTTCTCCACTCTAAATTCACCCTTCAAAACATGCTCTCTGATAATAGACAAAATTTTTAGGTATCTCTCCTTCAAAGTGACACAATGTTATATTTTTTCAGTAGAAGACACTGGAGGGAGATTGAAGGAAATGCCTCCCCTCTTATTTCCGGTTCTTAGAGGCATGGGTATGAGGATATTCTCAGTGCTCTGCCCCAGGCAGGAGACGAGAACAACTGTCCTCATTGAATGTGCAATCCTGGTGTGGCCTGGCGATCAGCTTTCTATGACTTTCTTCATAGAGACATCCTGGGCTCTAAACCACCTGCCCACTGATTCTCTCTGCTTACTTTCTCTACTGCTCCCCACTCTGCCCCCCCTTACCTTCTGTCCAACAACAGGTTTATCCTCTCTAGTTCTCCCAGTGCTACAGCCCTCCCAACACCAAGGCCCTTCTGATTCTACATGCAGGACATTTTTAGCTCCAGGCCTCTAACTCCACCAGCATCCCTATTCCTACTACATGCCCAAACACAATTCCACTAGTTGTGGCTTGTCCACATTGATGTGTTCCATAGGGTTGTGTCCTGCTTACCCTGTAACTGTAGACCAGCTCTGGTTCTGAAAACCAGCTCTAGTTCCCACAAACCAGCAAACTTCTCTGCCATCCAACAGTTTCTCCTATACTTTCTCCAATGAGGTGTGAATTCCAGCCTTGGAGAAGGGATTCCCCACTCCAAATTGGTCTATCCTTGAGTACTCTCTCTCAGCCCCAGAATACATAGTGATTTATGATACATGTGTTGCTGTAAATAATTTGGAAAAGAGCAGACTTTTCAAACGTGGTTCACTGAGACAATCAGATATCCAAAGGCAGGGGTGGGTGGGGAATAGAACCCTACTCAACACCATACAAAAGCATCACTTGTGGGGGGATTAACACATAACTGTGAAAGACAAAACCATGACTATTTTAGAAGACAATATAGAGAATATGTTCACAGCCCCAAGGAAGGGACAGACTTCTTAAACAGATAAGCTAATAATAAAGAAAAGAATGATAATTTGACTGTATAACATCTGTTCACAAAGCATAGCATAAAGAAAGTGAAAATGCAAGCAGCAGAGCAAGGGAATATTTTGGCCAAACATATAATTGAAGGACTAGTATTTAAAATACGTAAAGAACTCAATAAATGAGTAAGTGAAGACAGAAAATAGAAGAATGGCTGACAGAGTTAAACTTGAACAGTTCTTTCACAGAAGAGAAAACCCAAAGGCTCATAAACATAAGAATATGCCAAAGCTGAACAGTAATAGTAAAAAAAAAAAAGTTTTGGCAATCTTACATGTAGGTGAAAATGTCTAGCAGCAAAAACTCTATGCTACTTGTGAAATAGTAAATTGGCACCACTACTACAGAAACCAATTTGGCGTCATCTAGAAAAGCTGAAGATATTCATACCCTATAGCCAAGTGAATATGGTTTTGGACGTATACCCAAGAGACTTTTACACATGTGTTCAATGGGAAGTTTCCAGGAATGTTTACTGCAACATTGTTCATAGTAGTTAAAGAGTTTTTTTTTAATTTTTATTTATTTATGATAGTCACAGAGAGAGAGAGAGAGGCAGAGACATAGGCAGAGGGAGAAGCAGGCTTCATGCACCGGGAGCCTGATGTGGGATTCGATCCCGGGTCTCCAGGATCGCGCCCTGGGCCAAAGGCAGGCGCCAAACCACTGTGCCACCCAGGGATCCCTGTTCATAGTAGTTAAAAACTAGAAACAAACAAACAAACAATCTAGAAACAACTTTAGTGTCCATCCACTGTAGAACTGTATAATTATATCATAATCACTTCACTAAAACTATACACTGGAATGCTAGTCAACAATGGGGATAAAGGATTTACAACTATCTTGAACAACTTGGATGAGTCTATCAAATCACATGTACTATATGATATGGTGTGAGAGAAACAAGCGATCAAAGGAAGCATGCAATTCAATTTATATAACAGTATAAACTATATTATTTAGGAATGTGTACAAAAAATGGTAAAGCTATAAAGAAAGCACTGAAATGATTATCACAATGTCGGGATAATAACTTTATCTATAAGGAAGGGCACGGGTTGTGATTGAGAGGAATACTGTCTGTATCCAGGAAAGCTGGCAATGGTCTGTTTCTTGATCTTGATCCTAGATACATGGGTGTTTGGTTGTTTTCCTTGTTTTATTTTGTTTGTTTTGTTTTTGTTTTAAGGATTTTATTTATTCATTTGAGTGAGAAATGGTGAGAGTGCACATGAGCAGGACAGAGGGGCAGAGAGTGAGAGAGACAGAAGCAGTCTCCCAGTTGAGCAAGGGGCCTTTTTCAAAAATGACTTTATTGGGTTTTTATTTTTATAAGTTATCTAAATCTGGCAGATATGTTTTACGCACTCCTCTATATCTCAGATTTTAAAAATGGCTTCCTTTAAAAATGTAACAGAAGGAAAATATGTGAGGTAAAAATTTTGACGAGGTTTCAAATGTTAGGGATAATAAAATTGTTCTTCCTATCAAGAGATCAGCAAGTGTCCATTATCATTAAAAAGGGGGAAAGTGGGGATTATTTAAACTATATGTATCCAATAATCTAGTCATCACTCTAAGCCTTTCCCTTGCTAGATATTTCACCCTTTATTGATATCATTTCCCAAATCACAGATGACAGACAAGTCGGAAAATCATCATCATCATTAATACAATCACTAAGGCATCACAGGCCAAATCCATTACAAGGAGATTGGGCCATCACGCTGAAATGCAAGCAGGTACACCAGGACTATTGAACATGGTCATATGTGCATTTTTCTCAGTAGAGTCCATCACAGTGACTTAGGGTTTAATCTTACCACGTTTAACTGGTACTCTGTCCAGAGACCTCCATGTGCTGGAGAATCTAGCATTAACTGAGGAATGTTCTGAGGAATGCTGTGGGATTGGACATGAGATTTACCATGATGTAATGGCAAAGAGTTGGTTTAGGTTGGGCACTGTCTTGGAAGGACCCAGGAGTGGGTTGGGTTTTCCAGGATTCAGTATAAATTGTTTCATCTTCCAAGCTTTGCACTTCTAGGCTGAACAGTGGCAATCTGTTTTGGCCTCACCTCTTACTCATTCTAATTTCTGCATCAGCAAGCCAAAAAAAAGAACTGTAAGACAAATTTTCCTGAGGACCTTTTTCAAGACAGTTCTAGATATGGAAGCTATCCAGAAAAAAATAAAAAATAAATAAATAAATAAATAAATAAATAAATAAATAAATAAGAAAAGGACATCATTTTCATTAGCATTTGCTAGCATTATGGTACTTTGATGTTGACACAAAGTGTTATTGTTCCAGGAATTTTCTCTCACTGGATTGATAAATCCAGCCAGCCAGCCAGGCAGCCAACCAGCAAACAATTTTTTTAAAAGCACCATACTTAGCACTGGGAGGGAGTGGGGGTGTTTATTTTGGTATATATAATGACACAGAGATTTAAGTTGCATTTAGCAGATAGATTGCTAGGTTAAATGTACCGAATGAACTTTCATTTCCCCACTATCTGGGAAGACATCCTTGATTTCCTACAAATACTGGATGTAGAACTTACTTGTGCATACGAGGCTCTGCCTCTGGGCTTTCTATTCTGTTCCAGAGATCCAGTACCAGAATATTTAAATCACTGTGTCGTTAAACACGTTTTAATATCTGATAGGGCCAGTTTCTGCGCATTGCACATTTTTTTTTTCCTTTCAGGAACGTGTTCGGGCCCGCGGCAGGGGGCGGGGTCGCGCCTCCTCCGCGGCTCTGGTTCCAGCCGAGCCTCACCGCCTCGGAGATGGAAAGCCCAAGGCTGCTCCCGCCTCGAGGGACACGACAGAGCGGTGGTGCTGGCAGCCCCGCGGGCGGCAGCCGGTTCCACGGCGGCCCTGACCCGCGGGCTGGCCAGGTCCCCGCGCGCCGCCTCCTGCTGCTCCGGGGCCCCCAAGATGGCGGGTCCGGGAGGCGGCGCGAGGAGGCCCGCGCGGCCTCACGGGGCCCGGGCCTGAGCCCGTTGGCGCCCAGGTCGGATTATGCTAGTGGCGGCGACAGCGATGACTTCTTCCTGGTGCTGCTGGACCCGGTGGGTGGCGATGTGGAGACCGCGGGCGATGGCCAGGCCGCAGGGCCTGTATGGAGGGAGGAGGCCGAGTCGGTCCCACAGCTGCAGCAGGGTGAGAGTGGCGCGAATCCCGCGGGCCGCCAGGCGCTAGGCCCCCGCTGCCTGTCTGCAGTCCCCGCCCCAGCCCCGGCCCAGAACCCGATCCCCGCCCCAAGTCTGGCACCCGCCGCGGCCTTCACGGGCACCGTCACCATCCACAACCAAAACCTGCTCTTGCGCTTCGAGAACGGTGTCCTCACCCTGGCCACACCCCCGCCGCCAGCCTGGGAGCCTGAGGTCGCGCCTGCCCCTCAGCCTGGGGGTCTGATGGCTCCGCAAGCGGGGGTCCCGCACGCCGCGCAGCCCAATGACTGCCCTGAGCTGCCGCCCGACCTCCTGCTGGCCGAGCCGGCTGAACCGGCGCCGGCCCCAGCGCCTGAGGAGGAGGCAGAGGGCCGGGCCGCAGCCGAGAGTCCCCGCAGGCCGCTGGGCCCGGGCCCCGGCGTGGTGCTGTACCTGTGTCCCGAGGCGCAGTGCGGACAGACCTTCGCCAAGAAGCACCAGCTGAAGGTGCACCTGCTGACTCACAGCAGCAGCCAGGGCCAGCGGCCCTTCAAGTGCCCCCTGGGCGGCTGTGGATGGACTTTCACCACCTCCTACAAGCTCAAGAGGCACCTGCAGTCGCACGACAAACTGCGGCCCTTTGGTTGCCCTGCGGAGGGCTGTGGCAAGAGCTTCACCACGGTGTATAACCTCAAGGCGCACATGAAGGGCCATGAGCAGGAGAACTCGTTCAAATGCGAGGTGTGCGAGGAGAGCTTCCCCACTCAGGCCAAACTCAGCGCCCACCAGCGCAGCCATTTCGAACCTGAGAGGCCATACCAGTGCGCATTTTCCGGCTGCAAGAAGACGTTTATCACAGTGAGTGCCCTGTTTTCCCATAACCGTGCCCATTTCAGGGAACAGGAACTCTTTTCCTGCTCTTTTCCAGGCTGTAGCAAACAGTACGACAAGGCTTGTCGCCTGAAAATTCACCTGCGGAGCCACACAGGTGAGAGACCTTTCCTTTGTGACTTTGACGGCTGTGGCTGGAACTTCACCAGCATGTCCAAACTCTTGAGGCACAAAAGGAAGCACGAGGATGACCGGAGGTTCATGTGCCCTGTGGAAGGCTGTGGGAAATCTTTCACAAGGGCTGAGCATCTGAAAGGCCACAGCATAACCCACCTGGGCACAAAGCCTTTTGTGTGCCCTGTGGAAGGCTGCTGTGCCAGGTTCTCTGCTCGCAGTAGTCTCTACATTCACTCCAAGAAACACTTGCAGGACGTGGACACCTGGAAAAGCCGCTGCCCAGTCTCTACTTGTAATAAGCTCTTCACATCCAAGCACAGCATGAAGACCCACTTGGCCAAAAGGCACAACCTTGGCCAGGATCTCTTAGCTCAGCTAGAAGCTGCAAATTCTCTTACGCCCAGCAGTGAACTTACCAGCCAGGGACAGAATGACCTCAGTGATGCAGAGCTAGTGTCTCTCTCCTCTGATGTGCCTGGCAGTAGCTCCGCTGCAGTGCTGGACACAGCATTGGCAAACTCTGGAATCTTGACTATTGATGTGGCTTCTGTGAGTTCAACTCTGGCAGGGAGCCTCCCTGCTAATAATAATAATTCATTAGGGCAGGCTGTGGACCCTCGGGCCTTGATGGCCATCAGTGACCTTCCTCAGAGTCTGGATACCTCTCTCTTTTTTGGAACGACAGCCTCTGGTTTTCAGCAGAGTCCCTTAGATATGGATGATGTCTCAAGTCTAAGTGTGGGGCCATTGGTATCTCTGGGCTCTTTGGCTATGAAAAACTCGAGTCAAGAGCCCCAGGCTTTGACCCCCAGCAGTAAGCTTACAGTGGACACAGATGCTCTGACTCCTTCAAGCACCCTTTGTGAAAACAGTGTCTCGGAACTACTGACGCCAACCAAAGCAGAATGGAATGTACATCCTGACTCTGACTTCTTTGGACAGGAGGAAGAGACCCAGTTTGGATTCTCCAGTGCAGCAGGAAACCATGGTTCTCAGAAAGAAACAGATCTTATCACAGTGACTGGCAGCTCATTTTTGGTATGAACTAACTATTAATTCCTTGCCACGTGGCTTATTCTTACGAATTACACTCCATTTTAAGGATATTCTGGACTAAATGTTTAAATCCAGTAGTCATTTCTTATAGGTTTGAAAAAGAACAAAGCCCTGGGCTACAAGTCTGGAGATTTAAATTATGATCTTGACTCTGGAACTGTCGAGTTGTGTGACCCTGAGCAAGTCACTTAATCTATCTGAGCCTTAATTTCCTTATTTATAAAATGAGGTGGTTTGAATTGATTGTTTCTAAGGTCTTTTCATCTCTGTGATTCCTTGGTAAGTTTATTTCCTTGGAAAAAATAAGGACAGTTTTTATTTTTATTTTTTTTTATAAATTAATTTTTATTGGTGTTCGATTTACCAACATTCAGAATAACACCCAGTGCTCATCCCGTCAAGTGTCCCCCTCCGTGCCCGTCACCCATTCACCCCCACCCCCCGCCCTCCTCCCCTTCCACCACCCCTAGTTCATTTCCCAGAGTTAGAAGTTTTTATGTTCTGTGTCCCTTTCTGATATCTCCCACACATTTCTTCTCCCTTCAATAAGGACAGTTTTTAGTGCTTGTGTTGCATGTGCTTTTTTCCCAAAACATACATAATGGTGTAATGAACAGCCATGTCCTTAGCACCCAACTTTAACTTTTATTAATTCGCAAATAACTTTGTTTACCTTATCTCTAACCCTTTTTAGGAGGTATTTTGGAATAAATACTATACAGTACATCATTTCAATTATTATTCCATATATAGTTATATAATGTATGGGCTCTTTTGGAAAAATTATGATTTCATTATCATACTTAAAGTTAACTGTAATTCCTTAATACCAGTAAATATCTAGTCAGCTTTCAATTTGGAATTATTTCATAAATGCTATTTATTTTTAATATAGAATTCCAATAAAGCTCTTAAGGGTCTTTTAATCTGTTTCCTCCTTGATTCTTTCTTTGCACTTTTATTTGTTGAAGAACTAGGTTGTTTCACATGTAGCATTTGCCACAATCTTAGGTTTTTGTCATTACATCCTTTTGGTGTGAAGTTCCTTTACCCTTTGTTTCCTTTATTTAGTAGTTGGATCTAGAGACTTCCTCAGATTGAAAATACAATTTTTGGGGCAGGAATGTTTCTTAGTTCATGATGTGTTCTTTTAATCAGGTGGTACATAATGTCTGGTTCTCTCTTTTTGTTATATTTGCAGCTGCTGCTGATAAATGCATTTATTGATGATTACTTGTGTTTCTGATATCATGGATTGTTCTTGTAGAATTACTATTAGTGGAGGAGGAAATGTTGTTTAAGGCATTTATAAAAGTTTAACTGAAGTATTATTCAATGCCAAAATATTTTCTTAAATAATGGTAGAATTAACAAGAAAAAAGATAACAAAAATATGTTGGCTGTTTTTGCCATTTATCCTCCTGACCTTTTGTAATGGGGGCAGGATTTGTTTTTGTTGAAGTTGCCAGCCAGAATTTTGGCATGGAACAAACCCAGGGTCAAATTTGTAAGGGATAAATGGCCTGAATAAATTAGTCTCACTAAGCCTGAGTTTCCTAGCTGTCATATGATCATGGCAATGCACACACATAGCTAGCACACGTTAGACTTTTCTTCTTTTCCAGTTTTTAATATGTAAGGAAAAGTATTATGCGGGGCAGCCCCGGTGGCGCAGCGGTTTAGCGCCACCTGCAGCCTCTGGTGTGATCCTGGAGACTCAGGATCGAGTCCCACATCCGGCTTCCTGCATGGAGCCTGCTTCTCCCTCTGCCTGTGTCTCTGCCTCTCTCTTCGCTCTCTCTGAATGAATAAATAAATAAATCTTTCTTAAAAAAGTATTATGTGCTTTGGCATATTTTGATGAATTTATATAATTTTTTTTTACCCTCTCAGGCCTTTCTGCTGTAAGGGAGAAATTGAGATAATTTAACCCCATTCAATGTTTAGGCAATGAGTTTTGTTAGGGTTAGAGTGAGGTATGATACGGAATCTCTGTATTTTCTCCACTGAATAATCCTCCCTCCTTCCAGGAATTTCTGTGGGGAAATGCCAGGAGTAGAGACATTGCTCAAAGGTATATTTGCAACCATTTCCCTTAGATCAGTTTATCACCATATCTGCTCTGCTTACAAAGTCAGACTTTGCTGTGACTGCGGAGCCGAGCCTGCTATTGTGTGAAGCTCTGATAATGAAGCAGAGGTTTCCTCCTTTCTGTGGTCTGGAGAACTCATTGTTTCCATTTTCTCAGAGTTGGAAGGATAGAATGAATCTGAATATTGTATAAACTGTCTGTCTTATATATGAGGGCAGCTTTTGAATTTTGTGGAACTTCTTCACTACTGGTATCTTATTTGTTGTTCAGAACAACCCTGTGTGGTAGTTTTGACAAAGTCTGTACTGTGACACGTGGCAATTTAGCCAACTTACATTCTAAATGGTGACTGACAGTTATATATATAACTTAACACAAGATAAATTATCTTTGCCTCTCCTTTTCCACTTATCCAACTTCCATGATTCATTTCAGTGTCAAAACTAGCTCTGTTTTCCACTGTAATTGATTTCTGTTACTTTGTGCTTAACTTTCTCCTCTCTCTACTCCCTTGTGCATTCCAGTCTTTGCCATTCCTTTCTTTTTTAAATTTTTTAATGGATAGATCTTTTCTTGCCCATTTACTCATCCTACACACTGATAAATGACTCAGATGATAAACAAGATTATTTTCTACATTGTTCAGATGAGAAGTAGATTTCTGTTTCATTATTTTCATTTTTTAAAAGTTTTTGCTACAGAGTTTGGCTAACTAATACTCTTATTTGCTCTAGTGAACTAGTCAGTAGTGTTTGCACGTGAATGGCTATGGATGACAATTACTGTAGCACTTTGGCAGTGCACTAAAAACTTGCCACTTTGAAATGTTTCTGTACTGTGTGTGGGTATACACACATATATTTTTTTAAGTGGTTGTATTCATTTAGTGAAAACGGTAGGCATACTTTTGTAAATCAAAAATACTCAGAATTTTATTGTCTACTCCTTCAACTGTTTTCTCCCTTTGCTTTGAAATATTTGTATTTATAAAGTGCATTTCAAAAATACTGTCATTCATTAAGATCTCTTAAATAGATCCCTATTTTTCATGTCCAGAAAATATGTGTGTTAAGAATGGAAATGAATGCACAAGTAGCAAACATCAAATAAATTATTTAAACACCACAAGAATTTAATACTCTGACTTTATTTTTTATTCCTTAAACCAACTTTCTCCCACTAAAAAATCATAAAATATATTTTTTCTTACTCATTGCTGAAATTTTCAAAGGACAAATGTTGCTTTTCTCAAAATAAAAGCTTTGATTTGTCCATGGGCTCAGAGTTTCATTGAAGAAATTTGTTCAAATGATTTCTCTTTTAATACCATATTCTAGAAAAATGGTGTACCTCTTTATACGTTCAAAGTAAGAAGTCTGATTTTTGGTGGTGGTGACATAAAGTTGCCATTACTCTTTTAAATAATGACACATGTTTTAATTTAATCCTATTTCCTTTCTTTTTTCTCCTCAGTCTTTGGCTTATTAAAAAATCTTGCCAAAAAATACTGCCCCCAAAAATTAATAGACAAAACCTGTCAGTTGAAAACACAGCAACATGATGGCTTTAAAAAAAGTCTGGGGGCAGCCTGGGTGGCTCAGCGGTTTAGCGCCACCTTCAGCCCAGGGCCTGATCCTGGAGACCCAGGATCGAGTCCCAAGTCGGGCTCCCTGTATGGAGCCTGCTTCTGCTCCTGCCTGTCTCTCTGCCTCTGTGTGTGTGTGTGTGTGTGTCTCTCATAAATAAATAAATAAACTCTTTAGAAAAAAGTCTGTTTCTGGGGGGCTCTGTTGATGATGTAGGTTGTAAATTAAAATATATATTGGCATTGGCATTTTTAAAAATTAGTATAATAAATATAATGATTGAGTAATGGGAGTCAAACATGCATAGATTATGAAGTTTATTTGTCTCTGTGACCTAAACTCTTTATGTTCTTATCCAGGAAACATATAAGAAGGCAATTTGTCAGCTGGAGTTTCCAGTGTATTTATTTCAAATTAACAAATACTTATTAAGCATCATTGTACAAATACAGCATAACATAGTGAGGGTTATATGATAAGGATAATATGCAACTCTGACCTTTAAGGAGATCACATTTGACAGGAGAAGAGAGGAAAACATTTGTTAAAGAATTGGAGGACAGAAATGGGCAAAGTTTAACTTGGTACCAAAATGACAGAAAGGTAAACACACACACACACACACACACACACACACACACACCACAACCCCCTCCCACACACACACACAATAAGAACAATGAGGAATTTATTCTAGGCACAGATGAAAGCCTGTGAACATGTTTTAGTAGAGGAGTCAGATCATGGAAATGATGTCTTAGGTTAATGTAATGGAGGTGCTGTATGAATTAGATGAGAGAGATTGGAATAGAAGAATCAGTGAAAATACTTTTATAGCCATTCAGGCGTGATATGATGAAGACTGGACTAGAGTGGTGTCAGTAGGAAGTGAAAGGAAGGAACCAATACTAAAGATGTTTCCAAATTGAGGAAGGCATAGTACTTAGTGCCTCTTTAGGGAGATAGATGATGATAGATACATAGATAGGTAACAAAAAGAGACCTAGCAAAATCAGAAATGATAACTCAGGTATTCTTGGGGACTGTAATAATCACATTTTTACTAATTGAGGGAAGTAAGGAAGAGTCTTTTCAGAAGTATGTAAAGATGGTGTTTAGTTAAATGCTAATTGATAAATCATAGGTATCCCTGCATAAAGTATCCACATTGTGGTTTATCTACATTCTAGACAATGACAGAGGGCCACTTCCTCTTTCTTGGTTCCTTAAGGCATGCTCAGAACTATCTATATAGTTCTATTCATTTTTACTTCCCTTTGAATTACCAGAGTCCTCCTCATCTTGTCATGAATGATCTAGATCTGCACTAATTAATATGGCAACTACTAGTCATATGTGGCCATTGAGCATTTAAAATGTGGCTACTATGACTGAGAGACTGTATTTTTAATTTAATAAATTTAAATTTAAAAACAGTTTAAAATTGTTTCCTGTTAAATATTTTATTGTTTTAGTAGTATTAAATTTCACTTTAATCATTGACAATTTTATATCTGAATTAAGATGTGCTGTAAAATACAAACCTGGTTTTGAAGACTTGGTTTAAAACATTAAAGTATTTAATGAGTATGTGTATATTGATCACACATTGGATAATATTTGAATTTATTCAGCTTTATTGAAGTATAATTGACAAAGTTGTGAGATGTTTAAAATGTACATTGTGGTGATATGTATACATTGTGAAAGGATTTCCACCATCTAGTTAATTAACACATCCATCACCTCATATAGTTATTTTTTGTAGTGAAACATTTTATTTTAAATATATTTGCTTAAAGAAAATGTAATATTAAAATTAATTTTACCAGTTTATTTTTTTAATTTTCATTTGTTTTTTAGAGGTAGAAGTGAGAGGCAGAGGGAGAGAAAATCTTAAAGCAGGCTCCATACCTAATCTTTGACTTGAGATATGCTAGAAGTGACTCTAGAGATTTTATACTTTCCTTTCTCTTATTATGAATGAGACAAACTATTAAAGCCTACACTTTTGCTTGTGAAATTTATTTTCTTATTATACTAATGAGGGCAAAATTTAATTTTCTGGAATAATAGGGACATTATATTGGAAGCAATTTTATTATATAGTCACACTAGCTGGAAGGAAAGAGTAATTAATTTCATGTAACATTTGATGCTGAGACCTAAACATGAGGGAACTTAAAAGTTCACCAGTACCCTAGGGTGTGTGTGTGTGTGTAGGGTTGTTCAGTAAATAACCATTTTGATTTCTAGGTAAAACAGTATCTTAACACTTTCAGTCTATTCCAGAATAGCAAAGTTTTCTTTAATCATAAGCAACTTAAGTGTTCTAGATGTAAAACATTCACACACAAAAGTAACAAAAACAAGCAGGATTTAAATGTCAGACATTCTACTTATAGCATAATTGCAAAAGAATGTCATTTATTTTAAACAAGACTAACCTCCCTCTTCTGTTTATAATATAGAGTGGGAAGATAACTTCAGGGTGAGATTTGGCTCACTGACAGAAGGAAACTGGCCACATGTCTGCTTGAACATTGGCCAGGACAACCCTAGTGGAAATTCCAGTAAGTAGAGTAGCAGCAGTTCATATCAAGCTATTTCAGATTTTAGTTGATGCCACAATTAGTTCTTTTCTGTCCAAAGTGGCTGCATTAGTTAGTTAACATTTACTGAAGTCAAACTTTAGCACTTGCTATTTCTAGTAAGATTTAACATGTCACCTTAAATTCACATAAGTTGTGGTTTCTGGGAACTAATTATTATTAATTATTTTGTTATAATTTTGCAAAAATTCAGATTCATGCCTTAATGATAATAAAAAAAATGAATGCCAATATTTAATTTTTTTCTAAATCAAATTTTCTTTTATGTGGAGCATATTTTTCCACATTATTTGGGTTTGTCTCATTTTGTATGCTGCAAGCAGTAAAAATTAGAACTCTGTTAAAATAAATATTTAGACTTATAGTCTTAGAACATTTGGAACTTTGAAAATGGACACAGGCAGGCTTCCCTCCATTTACAGATGAGTGATAGAGCTCTTGGAAAAATTTGAGTAAGACATTCAGTGAATCTTGTAGCTAAGATCAACTTTATAGAAAAAAAAGACAGTTGATTTTATAATTTTAAATTATCCATTTATATTTATTAAGATGGCCTATGAATATAATCTTATAGGCTGTAAGAATATAGAGAATTTTTTTAAAGATCTTATTCATATTTTGAAAAAGAGCTAGCAAGAGTACAAGCTGGGGATTGGGGAGAGGGAGAAGCAGGCTCTTCACTGAGCAGGGAGCCCAACGTAGGGCTTGATTCCAGGACACCGAGGTCATGACCTGAGCCAAAGACAAACGCTTAACTAAGTGAGCCACCCAGGTGCCTCAGAGAATTCTATTTTAAAAAACATCAAATAAAATATTAGGTCATTTAAAAATTTTCGAGCAATTTCTATACTGTTTTCCAGAGTGGATGCATCAGTTTGCATTCCTGCCAACAGTGTAAGAGGGTTCCCCTTTCTCTGCATCTAATCATTTTCTAGATTGCTTGGGCTACCCAGGGCCTTGGGTGGTTCCATACAAATTTTAGGATTGTTTGTTCTAGCTCTGAAACATGCTGGTAGTAGTTTGATAGGGGTTGTATTGGATGTGTACATTCCTTTGGGTAATATAGACATTTTAGCAATATCTGTTCTTCCAATCCATAAGCATGGAATATTTTTCCAATTCTTTGTGTCATCTTCAATTTCTTTCATAAGTGTTCTATAGTTTTCAGAGTACAGATCTTTTACGTCTTTGGGTAGTTTATTCCTAGATGTACTATGATTTTTTTGTGCAATTGTAAATGGGATCAATTCCCTGATTTCTGCTGCTTTATTATTGGTGTATAGAAATGCAAATGATTTCTCTCCGTTGATTTTGCATCAGGCGACTTTACTGAATTCATGTTTCAGTTCTAGTAAGTTTTTTTTTAAAGATTTTATTTATTTATTCATGAGAGACAGAGAGATAGAGGCAGAGACACAGGCAGAGGGAGAAGCAGGCTCCATGCAGGGAGCCCAATGTGGGACACGATCCCGGAAATCCAGGATCACACCCTGAGACAAAGGCTCAACTGCTCAACCACTAAGCCACCCAGGCGTCCCTCTAGTAAGCTTTTTGGTGGAGTCTTGCTTTTTTTGTGTAGAGTATCATGTCATCACAAGTAGTCAAAGTTTGAATTCTTCCTTGCCAATTTGAATGCTTTTATTTTGTTGTTGCTGTTGTTTTGTTTCTTATTGCTGAGGCTAGGACTTCCAGTACTATGTTAAATAACAGTGGTGAGGGTGAATATCCCTGTCTTGTTCCTGACCAGAGAGGAAAAACTCTCAGTGTTTCTCCATTGAGAATGATATTAGCTGTGGGTTTTACATTTGTGGCCTTTTTAATGTTGAGGTATGATCTCTCTATCCTTAACTTGTGAGGGTTTTTATAAAGAATGGATGCTGGGGGCACCTGGGTGGTCCAGTCAGTTAAGCAGCTGACTCTTGA